CCTTCTGCTTAGAAACGGGGCATCTGGGCCTGTCATCACCGAGTCTCTCCAGGCCGCTGCCACAGATGGCGATCTTGTCCTCGGCAACCTCCTGGTCAGCCATGGCGCAACTATTAGCGAAACAGTCATCATCGAGGCATGCCGCTCCGGTGCGGCCGATGTTCTAGGCATGCTTCTCAGCGGACGCGAATCCCCGAGCAAGAAGACCCTGGAGCAGGGTTTCCAGGCAGCTACGGAGGTCGGCGACCTCAAGAAGCGGGCCGCGATCCTTGAGCCGCTTCTCGCTCGTGGTGTGGGTGGTGAGGCCATCAACGCCCAGCTCGTTTCAGCAGTCAGGTACGGCGCAGATGGCGATGATATGGTGCGAATCCTACTTGGCGCCGGGGCCGACCCAAACTACTACAACGGCGAGGCAGTCTGGGCGGCTACACGGAGCGCCTTCAGTGGAAGCTTGAAGATGCTCCTGGCGACGGAGGGCACCGTCAATCCCAAGCAACCCAAACCTACCGACGCAACTCTCAAGCGCGCTCTGCAGGCCGCATGGAAACTCAGCGACTCACGGCTGTGGGTTCTCGGTCTCATCTTCAAAGCCGGCCTCCCCATTTGCGACGAGCTTCATCTGGTTCTCAACGAGGCTGTCAACGAAGAAGTCCCAGACGAAAAGGCAATCGAGGCCTTGGTCAAGTACGGCGCGTCGCCAACATTCAAGAGCGGAAAGTCTTTGATTGAGGCCACGCAAAAGTCGATGCTCCTCGTGGTCAGACTCCTGATGCTCGCCAACATCTCGCCCAAAGACCTTGATATTGCCATCAAGCAATGCTTCACCAAGGATAAGGGCCAAAACTGGTTCACCGACAAGGGATTCCAGCTGCTGCAATGCTACGTCGACAAGGGTGCACGTGGCCAGGGCCTCAGTACCATATTGGCCAACGTCCTGGACATGGCTGCGTCAAACGGGGATCTCGCCGACCGCTTCACCGACTTGCTCTTCGATAATGACGTTGATGTCGACTACGAAGATGGCCGACTTCTCGAATCGGCCACGTCAGCTTGCAACCTCGTTCTGATCAAAAGACTCCTCGAAAAGAAGCCAAGCCCCGAATCGCTCTCGAGAGCATTCCACCGCGTCTTCGATCGGCAGCTCCCAGAAGACCAGGCGCTGGGAATTGTGGCCATGTTCACGGACTACACGGATGGCGAGACTCGACTGGACGTAATGCATTCCATCCCAGATTCCCCGCCAGCCCTGTTCCTCGCCCTCTCACAGTATCCTCGCTCGACCAAGCTGGTCAAGGCGCTCCTGGATGCTGGCTTCTACTACGACCAGGCCACTGTCTGCCGCGTCATGCCGGAAGTCGAAAAGGACGAGACAATCACGCTTCTTGCCTGGGCACTGCTGCAGCCCCAGAAGAAGATCAGCAGCGGCATCATCGAGCTCCTCGTCAAGGCTGGAGCCAAGGTCAACTTTGAAACCAAGATTTCGAGGGTGACGCCACTCATGCTGGCGATTCAAGCGCGCCGTCCTGACATTGTCAAGCTGCTTTTGCTGGAGGGCGCCGAGGTCGATGTAGCCGACGCCAAGGGCAACACGCCGCTAGCAATGGCGACCGACATTGGCGGCGAACTTGCCATCACCATGATGTCCAATCTCCTAGCCGCCGGTGCTTCCAAGAACGATGGATCCCTGCACAACGCCGCCAGGGAGCTCAACATCCCCGCGGTTCAGGTCCTCGTCGAGTATGGCCATGATCCTGACTTCCCCAGCCACATTCACGATGGTCGCAGTGCCCTTGGCGAGGTCTGCCTTCATGCTGCCGACTCGGGCGAGCTCACAGCTGTCAAGGAGAAGCAGGTGGAGAGGCTGATCAACATTCTCATCGAGGCTGGCTCCGACATTACCCTCAAAATCGAGGGCAAGTCGGCACTGCACCTTGCCCTTGAATCGCGCGACCCGCTCACCACAACCCGGCTCCTCCTGAAGGCTGGCATGTGGAAGCACATCAACAAAAAGTTCAATCTCTACACCGACGGAAGCTTCACTTACTCGCCCACGATGTACGTCATCAAAGCCCTTCCAGCATCGGACATGAACGACCAGCTCCTCCGACTTTTGCGCGCCAACCGCTGTGAGGACGTCTTTTACGCCAACAGCGGCCCACAGCCCGACGACGCCACGGGCCTCCCTGACGATATTGCGATGCAGGATCGCGAGCGTCGGGCAAGACTTGATCGTCTGGCCAAGGAAGCCGAGGACCACAAGCTCTCCATGGCGCGCACGCGTGAGCTTGCCGATGTACAGGCACGCATCTACTCGGACCAGGCAGAGCTCGAGGATGCCCGGCGGCGACGACTGCATCAGGAGGATGCCTCGGTGCTGGTGCACCGGGCACGGGTCGAGGAGGAGACGTTCGCCGCGGCAGTGCGGCGGCGCAAGGCGGAGCGGGCGGCCGAGGTCTCGCACGACCGACAGCTCGGTGACGCAGCGGCGGCGCGGGCCCGGCAGGAGGCGGAGTTGGAGACGCAGCGACGCAACAAGGCGCTCGAGTACGAGAAGCGCCTCGCGACGGAACGGGTCGACCATGCCAAGGCGCTCAGCGCCCTGCGAGTCTCAGAGCGTGAGGAGGTTGAGCGTTTGGACAGGCTCCAGGATGAGCGCCTGAAGCGACGCATCTCGGAGCAGCGACGACTGGTGGACAGTCAGAGTGGCCTTGCAGGACAGCTGGCGAGCAGTGGCTCCAACGCCAGGCGGCAGATTGGCTATGTTACGGGGGAGCTCAGCTGATGGGCATGACTTCACGATCTAATGACTCTTGGCTTACGGCGGCGCAGGCTCATGATACCTCTTGTTTATACAAGGCATAATTGGATACTTTTTACATGGAAATCATTGGACATTAACTAAAATTTAAGATCATGACTCTGGTTTTTGTCCCGTGACGACAATCATGGGCCAGTAGGCGTGTATGCCGCGGTCTTTCATTTCCTTCCTGGCTTGGGCGGCGAGGACGTCGACCTCCTCGGAACGCCAGCCAAGACCCCGAGTGAGGGCGGCCATGAGGAAACCCTGTAGACCAGAGATGATGTTCTCGTGGTTCCAGGAGCCGATGTGCTTGTGATGTGGATCGCGGGGCCAAGCGTTGGAGGGCCAGCGAAAATGGTGCTCGACGACATCTTGGAAGCCGGTGGCGCGGAGCATGGGGGCTATGGTGGCGAGGTCGATGAAGGGATGGCCCATGCCTGCGGCGGCTTGGCCGAGGAGGGTCATGGAGCGTTGAAGGGCGTGGTCGGGGGTGAGGGAGCCGTCGTCTGAGGTGGGGAGGGTGAAGTCTTGGATTTCGAGGTAGCCGCCTGGTTCGAGGTTTCTAGTCATGTGTTAGAGCGAGGATGAAAGAGAGGGGGCGGGGGCGGGGTGACGTACTCGTAAGCGCGGCGGATGTAGATTTGCCAATCTGAGATGCTCGAGTTGTTCATGCGGCTGTGGATGTATTGGAAAGGCTCGGAGTAGATCCAGTCGTCTTCGAAATCGTCGACGATGAAGCGGACGTTGGGGGGGACGAAGCTTGGTTGGGTGGGGGAGAGGTCGATGCCGGTGATTTCTGCTTCGGGGTGTTCGTCGCCAAAGTCCATGGCCCAGATACCGGTTCCTGTGCCGAGGTCGAGGACGCGGCCGACGGTGCTGCCGGGGAAGTTTGGGGGTGCGAGGCCGAGTTTGCCGTCGAGGGAGAGGTAGAAGATGTGGTGTTGGAAGTCTGGGTGGTGTTAGAGGGGACAAGGGGTGGAGGGTGAGGGAGGGCGGCGGACCGAGACGTTCGTTTTCTGCGTCGTCGTTGGGGAAGTGGTATTCTGGACTGGTCAGTGGGATATGGATCTTGGGAGGATGGGAAGGCGAACTGCCGTCGCGGAAGCCGTGATATGTGCGGCCGTTCTCTTTCCTGTAGGAGAGGATGGAACTTGTCAGGCTGGACGTCGAGGGGGTTGTCTCCTGCGGGAGGGGCTCGTCAGAAGAATCCAAGATGGAGACAGACTGATCATCCTTACGCCATCATCACCGTCGCCGAGAGACGAATCGTGGTCGTCAAAGTCATCCGGCTCAAGAGGGTCAATGGGAGGCGGGGTGTGTTCGGCCGCCATGGTTACTGATGGTGTACATGTATAGGCACAACGTCTGTCCAGAACGAGGAGGAAGACATGATGATGATTAAGGCCTGAAGAAATGGGATGGACCCCTCAAGGCTCTCAGGCTCTCGGGGGGGATTTGTCTTGGGCCCCGTGTGTTCGTCGTCATGGGCGCTGCGAGGGCGCGGTCTTCCAGTAGGTTGGCGCTACGGGGGCCCGAAGCGGCGCTGGCTCGACCCGACGGCGAGGTTCTCGTGCTGCGGATCGGACGCCAGGGAAGCTTGGTTCCCAACGGCGCCCGGGACCAAGGAGCCGGGAATGGGGAGGGGTGGAGGACATGGCGGCAAGGCAGCGGGGAGGATGGCCTGGGGGTTCGGGGGATGTCAAGCGGGCTTGAGACAGTGGATGAAAGGAGACAAGTTTGTATTTCATCAATCTAGAAATAGATAGTATAAGCAGTGCCCTTTGTCGAGGTTGAGATCTGTCCGGGACTCGGGGCTCGGAAAATGGGTGATGGACGGCAAACTCCATGAATGGTCCGGGATAGATCAACAGTGAACATGCGCCGGGGTTCGCTAGACGCGCGCCAGAATCCGTGCCAGACGCTCCGAGCGCCCGTATTGAACAATCTAGACCGGTTGGTAATGATTCTCCGGCTTGGAAAGAGCCCAGAACGGTGATGGTTTATCAGGTCGGGGAGCGGATGGACGCATCCGGGGAGACGAGACATGGGATCGGAATGTCAACATTGGCAGCTGAGAAGACGCTTAGAAGCGGAAGAGGGAAGGGAAGAGAGGGAAAGGTTAGAATGAGGAATGGCTGATGAGGGTTCGGGTACTGGGCTGGTGTGGGGATGATGGTGAAAAACCGGCAAAAAGGAAATCCTCCCCGAGACAGGATCGAACTGTCGATCTCCCGATGTGCTTTTCCAGTGAAGGATAACAGTCGGACGCCGTAACCAGCTAGGCCACCAGGGATGATTGAAAAGAAGAGCGGAATTAGGGTTTATGATTGAAAAAGATTGCAGGTCGTCCTTCGGTTTCACGTTGATCAGTCGACTCGTCCGCCAACTCGTCGACTCGACCTCACAGGAAGACTTGATCTGTGCACCTCTCCTCTTCTGCTGTGACTCCAGGGGACAGCGCCCAGCCTCGCGCCAGAAGAAATTAGAAGGAACTGCCGGATTCCATGCACCCAAGCGACTGCCGCCAGCACCTTCCGCCCTGTGCACTGACAGAACGCTAGGAGCCCTCTGTGCGCTTGCCCGTCTGGCAGGTGCGCCCTGCAGCAGTTCCTCTCCTTCACGTCCATCTGCGGGCGGTTTCCAGCACAGACGCATCGCGACTTTTTGCGCCTCCAATCGCAACACTTTACACCATCAAATCCGGCTCAACCTCCCACAAACAACCCTCAGCCAAATATGGAACGGAAGGTCGAGCCTTCGAGGGGCCGGTCTCCCGTGTTTCCCACGCGACGCATGCCTCGTTTGCAGTTGCAGCTTCGCCTGGACTTGTCCGGGAAACAAGAAACAACCTAAACGAACACCTTACCTTACCTTACTCTTACTCTTCCCTTGACCGACATCACCAGCTTTGGACACACGGACGCAGCCGCAACGCCCAGTGAAGCCGACACCGCAGACATTTCGTCGAGAGAAATCACCTGAATCACAGACCACCCCCCTTTTGGCGTATCAGAGGGTATCGACTCCTTGGCAGCCCTCCGGACCAACAAGAAACGCGCCACGCTGGACGGCACGCGACGCCGAGCCACTGCCGCCCGCTGATGTAGGCTGGGCTTATGCTAATGACGATGGTGGTGCTCGCATCTATTTCGATTGACCTATGAGGGCGCAACAAACCGGGTCAGCATGCCATGGGTCTTCAGCCTTGCTGACGGATGACCAGAAGAATACGGGTAGCCGATGCGACGTGTCTCGATGAAGTCATCACCACCTGCACGTCTGGCAGCTGCACAGTCTCCAGCCCTACGCTGGCGCTACACGACGCTACACCGTGCCACGCGCATCCCCCTCGCATACCCAACCCCAACCCTCGGCAGCCCGGCATCCTACCCTTACATTCTGCGCCTCGCGCGTCGCAAATCCGGGGAACCTTCGCTTCGCTCGTACATCATTGCACCTGTATCTGTCGATCCGCTCACGGCCCACCCCGAGGCGCAGTTCGCCCGGCTTCACAGCGACCCGGCGCCCAGGGCGTCCGTTCGCGCCCGGCCACGACGTGTTTGCGCCCCTCATCCGAAACGTTGGCCCGACGGACTCCAAGAACAGCCCAGAAAAGGGCCCGCGACGACAGCTCGGCCGGCCGCTGCCACCGCTGCCACTGCTGCCACCGCCAGAACAGTTCCTGTCTCTTGTCCGTCCCCCACGAACACCGGTTCGCCGCGCGCCCGCCGCAGTCTATTCCGAGATGGTCCGTGTGGGTGCCAAGCGCGACGTCGCGCTCGCCAACATCGCCGTCCCAACCTCAACCCCCCCTCGGCCTGGAGGTTGTAGCCAAATCGAGGCTTCCAAGACTACGGCCCCCTTCAGACTGGCATCATCGTAACTTTTGGCACAGAACATCTGCAACTCCAAGTGCTTCGAGCCTCGTCCGAACCACCGCCTCTGAAGTTTTTTCTGTCCTCGAATGCTGAGATGATTCGGAGACGACGGAGTAGGAAGAGGAAGTTCTGGCCAGCCCTCTTCCTCCCATATCGGCATCAGCATCATGGGCAGACTACATAAGCTGCCGTTGCCGCGCGCTGCCACCCGTGCTTCTGCCTGTTTGAGGGCATCGTTAGCCGGTCGTGGTCTTCGCTTCTCTTCTTCGCATTTCCTTGTTCAAGCAGTCGAGGTGAGGACCGGTTCCTCCCAGGCACTCCTTTCCATCATGGTCCGCCTCTCCATCATCGCCACCTTTTGTACGTCTTCCATCCTCTAGCTCTCGACGAGCTCCCTCTGACCTCTCCTCCCAAGTCGCGGCATCGGTTGTAGCACAGATTCGGCCAGACCCCAACGGCCAGCAGAACATCGGCAACGGCCGCGGCATCCAGTTCATCAACGGCGCCTGTGCCTCTAGCCGTGACTGCCAGACCCAGTGCTGTGCCTTCAACGGCCAGTTTGGCGGCGTCTGCTCTGGGACCGGCGCCCAGTTCCAGGACGGCAAGGGTGGCTGTGGCTTTGGTGACAACGGCCAGCAGAGACCTCCCAACCAGCCTCAGCCTGGCAACCCAAACCAGCCCAACAGGCCGCCTCAGCCTCCGCCGCCGAACCAACGGCCGCCGCCGCCCCCCAACCAGCAATTCCCTCCGGGCAACTGCCAGCCCGGATTCCCCTGCCAGCAACCCGGATTTCCCCAACAGCCGTTCCCCCCTGGAAACTGCCAACCGGGCTTCCCCTGCCAGCAGCCGTTCCCGCAGCAGCCTTTCCCCGGACAGCCGTTTCCCGGACAGCCATTCCCTGGACAGCAGCCGTTCCCAAACTGTCAGCCCGGCTTCCCCTGCCAGCAGCCCTTCCCTCCCGGAAACTGTTCACCGGGATTCCCCTGCTGCCAGCCGGGCTTCCCGTGCCAGTTCCCCCCGGGCTACATCTACTGCCCGCCCGGCTTCCTGTGCCAGCCGCCGTTCCCTCCCGGCAACTGCCTGCCGGGCTTCCCCTGCCAGCAGTTCCCCGGCAACTGTCAGCCTGGCTTCCCCTGCCAGCCGGGTCAATTCCCCTACCCCTGCCGGAAGAAGGACCGCTCGTGCAGGAAGCGCCGCAAGAACCAGGGCCAGCTTCTCCCCGGTCTGCCCTACAAGCTTCTCGGAGCTGGTGAAGTCGATCTGGAGGGTCCCGGCTTCGCCAACGTGGGCACCGGCAACGGCCAGCAGGGCGAGCTCGGCCAGTGCTTTGCCGACAACGATTGCCAGTCTGGGTGCTGCTCCAACCCTGACGGCGCCTGCGTGGCGCGGCAAGCCGCCGAAGATGACGGCGGTCCAGGCTGCGGCTTCAACACGCAGAATGCCCTCTCAGTTGACCAGCGTGTCATGGAGTCGAACACGCAGGCGCAGGCTGCCGAGGCCCAAGAGGCCGCCGAGCTGGCCCAGCAGCAGCCCGTCGCCGGTGCGCCGCCTCCCGAGGGTGTTCCGCCCCCGGCCCCGGCCCCAGCGGGCAGGCGCAGGACCGTCAAGAAGCGCGTCATTGTCAAGGATCTTTCTTAGTCTTCAAGTTTCGAGGTGAAGGCAGGCTACCGCCGTCGCTTGATGTGACGTGACGGGCTCGGAGGAGTGGTTTGGGTGGGATACCAACAGCATTGGCGGCGTTTTGGGAGGAGCAAAAACGGGCGGCTGGCATCGCCGTACTCCAGGGTTGGGCTGTCTGGGTTTGGATTTATCATTATTCCCTTGTTTTTGCATGTAATACACGTCTAATCGACATGATCGTCAACTGTCGCGAAGCATGAGGTGTTGAGGTGCCGTGATAGAGAAAGGTGATTGCCAATCGAGGGGACGGTCGGAGCTTGACGATTGTCAAACTGGACGCGCCGTTGAGTGACTCGGCTTGGCCACTCTGCCTCAGCTATTCCGGTAGTTCTTGGTCCCCAAATTTGGCGTCGCTTCCAGATCCATCAAGATCCTGAATAGCAGCAAACACCAGACAATCTCACCATCTCGCGTCATCCGCAGACACGCCAAACACCATGCATGCGTGCCTGACCCAAGTAAATCTGCTCGCCTTTAGATAAGGGCATCTTCCCCTCCATCATTTTACTTCCATAAAATCCAAGCCTGGAACCATCCTGCAGCAAGTGGCCGAGGTAGCGCCCCGCCCCTCGCCGCATCTCGGAGGAGGGGCAGCATTCGGCAGACAGGGGTGAGCTTTGGAGCTTGGAGCTTCACTTGGAGCTGCCATCCGCGCTCCGGCTCAGGGGCTTCCGTAATGACAACCATCCAATGCAGCACATGCAGGAAAACAAGCCTCCTCTTTGCATAAGGGAAAAGAGGCTTAAAGGAAGAAGAGGTCCCGAAATCACCCCGTTCCATCACACCTTATCGCGCCTTTTGCGGCTCATTCCGGGGGCTCTTGCCAGAAAAAAAAGATGGCAACCCCTCAGTGTCCCCCTCATTCACATGCTTGGTTCTGTGCTGGCACAGCCTAACCGCCTGGCGCTGTTACTCCCTTTTCCCCTTGTCGCCTGGCCTTATCGCAGGTGAATTTTTGACTATCAATGCCCTCGGGCGCCCACCAAGCAACAACTGCACCAGCGCGATAAGCCTCTTTCGGCACGCGTACCTTCTCCCTCCGAGCCCTTTCTCTTTACCCTGAACAAACCACGACTCCTTCTTCCCCATTGAGGCTTGCCGCCGCAGGGCCGGTCCTCGGTTGCGTCTTATTGTCGTTTGGCCCGCCCTGTGTTTACAATCGTCCTTTCGCGCCCCGTTCACCTATCGCGATCTGCACCTGCACCACGGGCCCTTGGGATTCACCTTGGGGTCCATTCAGCCAACGCACACCAAAGGCATTGAGGCAGAAGGAGAGAAGGCGGATGAGGATCTGGATGAGGTGAGGAAGGATTACAAGTATCGTCGCCTGCCGAGCGGCGCCGATAGATTTTTCTTCCTCCATCACCACCACCAGCAACCAACCACTCTGCGCCTCCTCTACAACTCTTTCAGCGATCATCATCAACAAGCCTCTCCTTCAACATCATTCGGGCCAACAAGACCTCCGAACTGAATCAGCACCATCGCCGGAGTCACAGCCGAATTTCCCTCGGCTCTTAACTCCCGTCCCTGGTAAGTGACACATCTGCACCAATACAGATCGGAACCCCTTCCGAGTCGCCTATCAGTATTACCACCCACACCCTTTCCCCTTTCATCTTCCACCCCCTCCCCCTGATCATACAATCCAGCCTTGGCATCCACCACCGCCCGTGATAAACCATCGCACTCGGACTGACACTTCCATAGCAGGGCATTCAGACCGCGGCTTCGT